GAAGCTGTCCTGGTGTTATCAGAAGATGAAACTTGTTTCTTGACTTATTCTAGTGACTACGGCTAACATTTATCACCATTGTTATGTTTCAATTATGTAGGACGATTTTGATGGGTGTGTTTCCTCCAAGTGGCTGGTTTCACTGAAAGCTGAGCCAAAAATAAAGGGTAAAGGGGTTTATTCTTCCCTAATTGTCTTATAAAACATTGTTCACATACAACTGAAGCTAACACACAAAAACTGAAGGTGCTCTAGGGTGATATGTGTATATTTACATCAGCATACAAAAAAAGCTCTGTTCCAATGAGCTTTTATATGTGCATTTGTCTTCAGCAAGCATGAATAGAGTGTGTGCATAAAGGCATCTTGTAAAAGAAAGTCTGACACTAATAGCCTGTCCACGTGCCAGAGAAGGCCTGCTACACTGCTTGGGGCCTTCCCATCCAATAATGCAATGAACAAGGCATTATTTTAGGGCCAAGAGCTTTTTGGACTTTGTTGCTGGTTATCTGCCTTCTCACTCCTTTTTTAGTGTCTAACAGCTCACTTAAGGCTAGAGCAGGGGTGTCACACTCATTTTTGTTGTGTGTGTGTGTGTGTGTGTGTGTGTGTGTGTGTGTGTGTGTGTGTGTGTGTGTGTGTGTGTTTTATTTTTGTTGCATGGTCAAAGACAGCAAGCCATTTTCACCACTTCAGTTTGGTCAATACTTTGTAATTACTGTAAAACCAGTGGTTCTTAACCTGGGTTCGATTGAACCACAGGGGTTCGGTGAGTCGGTCTCAGGGGTTCGACGGAGCCTCTGCCATGGAGGAGAAGACACACTCGACTCAACAAGTTAATTAGTTATGACACGCCCGCTTGGCCATCACTGGCTGCAGATGATCACATGACATTGCTTGTCCAATCAGTACTGTGAGAAATTTAGTTTGCTTAGTCATCAACGTGTGACTGTCGTGATAGTACGTCGTACAATTAAAAACAAGCAAACAAGAAAAACCGTATCTCTTGAAATACTACTTTTTTTCTGTTTTTAATAAATGCGTTTTTTTGTATCTTGAATTTATAAAAAAATATATATTTTTTTATTTTCACTCATGAAGGGTTCGGTGAATGTGCATATTAACTGGTTGGGTTCGGTACCTCTAAAAAGGTTAAGTACCACTGCTGTAAAACAATCACGCATGTGGACTGCCCAATAATATACATTTGTAAATAAAAAAAAAAAAAAAAGTCCAAATGTTGACATGGGAGGTTTCAGGCTGACGGCAGCTATAAACACAACAAATTGCTGAATAACTTATTTTGAAATTAATTGCCAGTAAAAATGACAGTTCAAATATTATTGCATTAATAGTAAAATGAGGATTTGGGAACAAAAATGCTTGCAGGAGTTCAACGTTTCTAAAAGTGAAGACAATTTTCAAGTTTGGCATTTTAGCAAAAAAGCACATACCGGTAATTCGTTTACGCGGGCCACATAAAATGATGTGGCGGGCCAGATTTGTCCCCCGAGCGTTGAGAGTTGACACATGCTTTAGGGGCTTGCTGTATTGTTCTTTTCTGTCAATCAGCGTTGGAATACCCTCTTCTGTCACCATCATTTCACCCCTCCCTTCATCTTTTGTGTGTATTTCGGTAATGTGTTAGTAACTCCAAATATCACCTTCTGCACTGCTGTGGGTGGTCTATTTCGATGGCTATACAATCCTCATCTGAATAACTTTCTTGTTGGTACAGTAAATTATATCTTTTTTTGAGATATCTTATGTTGTAAAAAGTGATGGGGTGGGATGTTGACCGTGGTAACTTTATGTACTGGAAGAAAAAAGAAAATATGGTTCACGTTGTAAATTCCAGTCTCTTAGAGGAAGAGGGGGAAAGATCACAGATGTTAAATAAGAGGGTCTGGCTCACCCATTGAGGTAAGCCTGTCTGTGTTGAGGTAGGGATGTCTGTGAGTCATCTGCACCAGAAGCAGACCTCTGCCACAGGACACCAACACTAAGCGATGTGGGAGGGGGGAGGGGGCATGGCCACGGCCCATCACAATTTGCTGTAGGGCTCCCTCAGTGGAAACACTGAAAGATACCAAGAAAAAAAATCTAAAATGCTTTCAAACAGAAGCAACAGACCGAGCAAAACCATTTTTAAAAACAGCATAAATATCATGGACAATGGATGGATAGATGCTGTTGAAGAAAAGTAATAACAATAATCATAATCATAGTCATTAATGGCAGCCCGATGTTTGATTGGTTAGCGCGTCAGGGCTCGATTCCGGCACTGGCTTTCCTGTGTGGAGTCCGCATGTTCTCCCTGTGTCTGTGTGGGTTTTCTGCAGGTACTTTGGTTTCCTCCCACAGTCCAAAAACATGCATGGCAGGTTAATGGAACACTCAAAATTGTCCCTCGGTGTGAATGTGAGCGCGGATGGTTGTTCGTCTCTGTGTGCCATACGATTGGCTGGCAACCGGTTCAGGGTGTACCACAGCTACTGCCCAAAGATTCATTAAGATAAATAGTTCACATAATGGATGGATAATAACAATAATAACAATAATAATAATAATATGTTAGACTGAGCACCTGTCATGGGATCCAGAGATTGCAACCAGACATTTAGTGAGTGTGTGTGTGTGTGTGTGTGTGTGTGTGTGTGTGCGTGCGTGCGTGTGCGTGCGTCTGTGTGCGTGCGCGTGCGCGTGCATGCGTGACTGTGTGTGTGTTTGTGTGTGTGTTTGCGTGTGCATGCATGTTGAATAGGTGTTTGAAGGACTGTTCTTCATCATGGGGTCGCACACATTTCTGAAATTATTTAAGATGTTTAATATCATTTTGTTTACCCCACTTTCATGACGTACTTTAGCTTGATATTATCCAGTACATTTTATGATACTTTCACTGCAAGTGCGCGCATAAGCAGCACGAGAAAACTGAAACATACTTGTCTTTTTCTTCCCACGGAGATATAAACAGATGACATCACAGGGTGGTCCGCTCTGCGCTGAGCCACGCTGAGTGGGTCTCCGTTGATCTGCCAAACAGATGGAAGTAGCAACATAATAACTGCTGGAAAGAGCACTGCGAGAAGAGCACGTTCATACAAATCTGTCAGTTACAGTGGAGATGAAAAAAAAAAAGCAGACTTGTTTTTAAAAAAAGCAATTAATTTGATTGGCAAACAGCACTAAATCAGACATTTATGTATTTGATGTTTGTCTCTTCATTGAAAATAATTGGACCAAAATAAAAAAAACATTTTCACAAAGGACATGGAACCTAAATGTTCCACGTTTGTTGTTAATTGAGTCAAGAAGTCCGTCCTGTCATGTGTACACAACAAGAGACTTGGAACAACTGGTTGCATCCAACTGCCCAACATTTAAGTAGACATTATGGACAGCATTAATAGAAACATTTTTTGGGGGGGCAGGGGGGATTCCTTACTTGGAATCTGTCTGAGCGCTCAACAGCGAACCGCCAGGCTTCCCATTCTGTCTCCCTCTTTTGGTCATTGTTTTGTGTATGTTCCTCTGAACAGGTTGTAACTGGGAATGTAAATTCCTTGTGAGTTTTACATGCTTGGCCAGTAAATCTGATTTTAAATTCTTTGTTATTTACAGTGTATATTTTAGGGTTGAAAAAAAGAAGAAAAGAAATTCTGATCTCTCCATATTAACATAAGTGAATAGCATTTCCATGTAAGAGTGGAGAGGTTCTGGGTTTAAAACTCAACTCCGACCTTCCTGTGATTCTCTGTCTTAAGTAGTTAGTCTGGCTTCCTTCCATATTTCAAAAACATGTTTCTGGGGTGAAATGAAAACTCCAAATTGTCCATAGGATAAAATGTGAGTCTGAATGGCGTTTGTCTGTCTAATGCCGGGCGTATTTTCACAGTCTCCGACTAAAAACTGAAAGTTTGAGATTTTTACTGGAGTCACAGCAGCATGCTCCAGTCATCTCGATCGTTTAGTGTAAGGTGGTAATCTTAGCTGTTTTAGGTCAGTCTTACCTCGATCGACCTTGCGACATCAAACGTATTTGATATTATCAATATTATCACGAGTCTTTCAGTCTTTGCATGACACAACCAACAACAAATAAATGAGCTCGAACAAAACAGGAAACATTGCAAACATGAGAGGGGCAGGAACAAAGGGGAAACACGACTCAGCATAATGAGAAAAAAAATTCACTGTCGGAAAAAAAATGGCCAAAGAATATAGTTGTAGTTTTGTAAATAGTGACCCTGCAAAATGGTTTTAACCTGAGAATAGGCTGTGAGATGTGTGTGTGAGATGACAGTTTTCCAAATCTCAAAATCTTCCGATGCACAAGTATCCTAAATTAGTGTAGTATAACTATGAGAGGTTTTGTGTTGAGTTGATGTGGCACAGGATGATGGGTGTCACATGCCATCTTAATGGCAGATGTCCAATCTAGGGGGTACTACTCTCACCCAAAGTCATCTGGGTGAGTAAAGTGAAGCGAGAGAGAAGAAGAGAAATGGGACTGGAGAACTTAACAAATCCTTCAGTATGTGCGTTCCTCGACAACGGGCAAACTATTGGCTGCAGTTGTTTGTTTACATTTAAACTAATCATCTAGCAAATGTGAGTAATCACGCTGTGATCTCGAGATTACAATCCCAGTAGAGGGAATACAACTCTGCAACTCCTATATGCCAAATGCCAATGTTAAGGAAGCTGAAGTATATTTCAAACAGAAAATACGATTTTATTTCGTTTTCTTAGATTGTCTGTTTATATTTCAGGACTCTTTTTTTCATGTTTTTCTGTCACCTACATCAATGTTACAGTTGCAGTTGTGGTTAAAGAGCAACAGAAATAAAGTTGACTTAAGTTCCCAATAATTAAATGGTGTATCAAAACAGTGAAGCAAAATAACATGTCTGCATATTATTTGCCGAAAACCTATTAAATGTTCAATCATGAATTAATTTCCATTTCCCCCCTGCCCTCTCCCCATCCCAACCCAGATGAGTGGTCAGCGAGTCCTCACCTATCTGCGGATATTTGGGACCACAATGTTTGGTGTTTCACTCCTGGTGGGCATCTCCACAGCATACATCATGGGCTACCAGTTCTTCACCACAGCCCACAATCATCTGTCCTTTGGACTTTATGGAGCCATCTTGGTTATCCATCTCCTTATCCAGAGCATCTTTGCACTCTTAGAACACCAAAATATGAAGCGGTCCTTAGAGACGCCAATTAAACTGAATAAATCTTTAGCGCTATGCATTGCAGCATATCAAGAGGACCCAAACTACCTGAGGAAATGCCTGGTGTCAGTAAAGAGGCTGACGTACCCCGGAATCAAAGTCATCTTGGTGGTCGACGGCAACTCAGATGACGACTTGTATATGATGGACATTTTCAAAGAAATCATGGGATGGGACAATGTCGCCACATACGTGTGGAGGAGTAACTTTCACAGCAGGGGGCCAGAAGAGACAGATGAGAGCTATGCTGAGAGCCTTCAGCAAGTCTCGAGACTGGTCCTAAACAACAAATGTGTGTGTATCATGCAGAAATGGGGAGGCAAGAGAGAAGTCATGTACACAGCCTTTAAAGCGCTTGGAAGGAGCGTCGACTATGTCCAGGTGAGAATGTAAAACTACACTGAAATGGCAAAAAAAAAAAAAAAAAAAAAAGTCAATAATATAGCAGATTACTGTATTCCTTGTATAATATACCTTGTTTTTGTCATTGTCCATCTGAAATTAGAATTATAGAAAAGACAAGGATGATTGACACCAGAAGGCAATGACAGAATGTAGGTTAGGGAGCTAATTTGAATAAATGCCACTTGAGGAGTCAGGTGAAAAAAAAAGACACTTTTTACATTTTTATGTTCTGCAATATGAGGTTACAATATTTACAACTTTATGAGATGCTGCAAAGATTGTAATTATGATGTTTTCTGTAAGGTATCTTAAAGGGGAAGTAAAAAAATACAATATTTACAACTTTATGAGATGCTGCAAAGATTCAAACCTTGTAGTTATGATGTTTTCTGTAAGGTATCTTAAAGGGAAAGTAAAAAAAATGTCTACAATCATATGTTCTGTGCGCTCCCATTAGTATAAACATGGTATGTGCACATAGGAACCTAAAGTTATGAATTGTTGAAATGCCTCTGTGAGCTCATTTGTAACTTCAAATGTTCATAAATCGAGGTAATATTTCCGATTGAAATCAATGGATATGCAATGTATCCGTTCCAAATACAAAATTAAGTTATATTTACCTTTTTTTAGCCACTTTATGTTTAAAAATAAATGAACTGCAATATAGAAATAAGTCACAACACACATTTATCAGAAATAGAATATTTAAAAAAAAACGGATAACTATTTATTGCTCGTTATTTTTACCAGAGAGAGGAACAGGGGAAGAAGATTACAGCTCCTCCAGTAAATAGTCTTCTTCCATACTAACATGGAGAAAATCTGATTCAGGTGTTTCATATTATGTCTGTTTCTTTCCTAATTCGTTCATTGATTTTGGCATGCCAATTCAGGGAAATGTGTCCTTTTTTTTCATCACATTGTCATTTAAAAGATTAATACTCCATAAATTTCTTTTGATCATTTTTAGTTTTTGTTTTTTCCTGGCTCATGCTAGCGAGTGCTTTCCCATGTGTCTTAAAAAAAAAACAAAAAAAAAACCACGTTGCCTGGTTCCAAAACGTGAGACGAAGAGCACAGATCTTTCTGCTCCTGTATGACAAGCGCTTCCAATAACACTCCCTTGAGCAGCTTCACTTTTCCATTCTGACTGTTTCACGCTTTATTTACTTGTTCGGCAAAACTTCAACATGTCTGTCAATATGGGACACGCATGGGACAGCATTCAACCCGGCCGCTATTGGCATTGTGATTGGGTGAATGCATTATATGTAGTTGGAACTTCTCCCTTGCCGCAATACGCGGGCAAGGCTATATGATGTGAATTACACCAAAATTAACTATTTGTTCTCTTATTTAAATATACAACACCCAAACTCTAAATAGACTTTTTTTTTTTTTTTTTTACAAAAATGAAATGATTTTCGGATGTCCTTTACGCTAATAGATTGTGATTGGATGTTCAAGGACACGGAGGGGGAACTTCCGCCTACATATGCAACGCCTTCAGCCTAAGGGGATAATTTTCAGATAACAGCAATGCGTAATGCACGTTGCCAATGATGTTTATGCAGTGTGATAAGAACATAGATCCATCCACTTGTCATGCCCAAATTGTTCGCATCTCGAAAATAGCATGTAAATAAAGGTAATGTTTGGGCGAAAATGTCACGTACATAGGGGCGTTTGTAACTCAAGGCTCCACTGTATTCCGATTAATATTGTGCTTGTGGATTGGGGATTATGATTTAAGGTGCAAAATCCACCCCTTTGTAGCCATCTCAGTTGCCGACCATTTTGCCACTTTATGTCTACAAGTACTAAAAATGACATCACAGTGCCGAACGGCTCAGTCACCAATCATGGCTCATCAGTTTTCTGGGTTTGGATTACCTGAGAGTCCAATTCAGGTCAAAAATACAATATGACACCCAGTTTAATGCATTGTAATGACGCCAGCAAGCCGAATACTCACAAAAGAATCACGTACGATTCTGTTGGTGTTCTAAACATGGCTCAGGTATTAAAAATTGACAAATGTACACACACACACACACACACACACACACACACACACACACAGCGTTGCCCCACTTTGCAACTTTTTTGAGCTACGAGTCATGGCTAGGTGGATTTTTTTTTTGATGAGAGAACTTCACATAAGCTTGACTAGAGAGAGAAAAAAAAGGAGAGCAAAAGTCTTTGATGCAATTTCAGCAGGTTGTTGAGCAGTAAAATCAAACAAACACAATGTAATCGTTGTCATAGAGCACCATCTTTGTTTAACAAATAGTCTCTGCACAACCAGACTTAATAAATTGCAGATTGAATACATGACGAACATTCGTGAAATCCCCCAGTACTCATGTGGATGCGGTTTTCTGTCCCTCATCTTTTATCACTCCACCAGAGAACCAAAACACAACTGCACAATGAAAACACTCACAAGGAGCTCCAGCACAATAAGACACAACTCACCATTCGACGCTAACATAAAGATTAACCTGGCATCATTCCTGACGTCACTCATATGTCCTGAAATGCACACACTGCACAACATTTCAGCTACTGTTGTTGTGACTCAGCTTGTCTTAATGTACAGTGACTGCACTTTAAATTTTGAATTTCTTTTCATTGTCGTTTGTATGTTTTTATAGAATATAGTGCTACTTTCTATATATAAAATATGTAACAAAAATGTTGGAGTTTGCTGGAACAAATTAATGGCATATCAGTTCATTTAAATGGGGACTATTGATCCGGTAGAAAAAAAAGAGACATGAGCTTGGTCACAGGACAAATTATTTCATTAGCCAAGGTGCCACTGTAATCTTAAAGATAGAGTTTGGACATAGGCTATGTTTACTCCCTGGTGCACGGTTAACTTTCTGTCTTAGCAGAACTTCTCTGAGTTTCAGTACACTGCAAGTTTCTCATATCCTTGTTTGATTCACTAACGGACTTTTGGACCACAAGAGAACAAAAGATAAATGGGGATATAAAAACATGTACAAAAAAAAAAGTCCAAAAGCTGTTAATCATAATTCTAGCGGGTCAAAACCTTTAGCATGGCTGTACCATGATGTATTGTGTATGGTTGTTTTTGTTTTTTTTTTTAACCCAGGTGTGTGACTCTGACACCATGCTGGATCCAGCATCATCGGTGGAGATGGTAAAGGTTCTTGAAGAGGACCCCATGGTGGGTGGTGTTGGAGGAGATGTGCAGGTAAGGTAACCAAACTGCACTTTTAAACATACCTTTCTACCAGTCATTGTTTTGATGATATTCTCATCCTTCTTGTTTTCTGTGTTTGCTCATACATCTCTGCCTAGATTCTAAACAAGTATGAGTCGTGGATCTCCTTCCTGAGCAGTGTACGGTACTGGATGGCCTTCAACATTGAGCGGGCTTGCCAGTCTTATTTTGGCTGCGTGCAGTGTATCAGTGGACCATTAGGAATGTACCGAAACTCACTCCTGCACGAGTTCCTTGAGGACTGGTACAATCAGACCTTCATGGGATCCCACTGCAGTTTTGGGGATGACCGCCATCTTACGAACAGAGTTCTGAGCCTTGGGTATGCAACCAAGTACACTGCACGGTCCAAGTGCCTAACAGAGACACCGATTACATACTTGCGGTGGCTCAATCAGCAGACGAGATGGAGTAAGTCGTATTTCCGAGAATGGCTCTACAACTCCATGTGGTTCCACAAACATCATCTTTGGATGACCTATGAGGCTGTGATTACTGGGTTCTTCCCATTTTTTCTCATCGCCACTGCGATCCAACTCTTCTACCAAGGAAGACTTTGGAATATTTTGTTGTTTCTCCTGATTGTCCAGGCAGTGGCACTGATCAAGTCGACATTCGCCAGCTGCCTCAGAGGCAACATTGTGATGGTGTTTATGTCCTTTTATTCAGTACTGTACATGTCAAGCCTGTTGCCAGCCAAAATGTTTGCTATCGCAACAATCAACAAATCTGGATGGGGGACCTCCGGGAGGAAAACAATTGTGGTGAACTTCATTGGTCTCATTCCAATATCAGTTTGGTTCACCATCCTCTTCATTGGGTTCATCTACACTACGATCCTGCAGGCTAAAAAACCCTTTCCTGAATCAGAAATGCTCATTCTGATCATTGGGGCGGTCGTCTATGCCAGTTATTGGGTGATACTGCTGACTTTGTACGCAGTACTCATAAACAAGTGTGGTAAAAGGAAGAAGGAAACACACTATGACATGGTGCTGGACGTTTGACTTTGCCGACAACACTCAGCATGTACCACTGAAATGCCTTACTGATGCTCTTCTTACAGACGTTCTGATTAAGATGAGCTTCTCTGGATTTTTGCGTTGAGTTGAACTGCAATGGGCAAAACCAAAATGTTCAAACTTGAATAACAAGAATACAAGAATTTCAGGAGCACCATAGAATTCATAATCATGGGACCATAGTGTCCGTTAGCTTGCCTATATTTATTTTAAATGATTTTTGCTCATCCGAAGAACAACATGTATAGGCTTGCTTTCAGGAGACATGATGACTGAGTATGGCAAGAGGAAGCATTTTCAGTTGGCAGGAAGCGTGTATGGCTTTGTACGGACAGCTACCTCTTAGACTTGTCATCTCCACTGGGCTTCACAAAGTGTAGCATAGCTCACCCAATGAAACTTTGGAGATTGCTCATTAAGGTTTTCTTAACCATGATAAACTCCAGAGCATAACTGTGCAAATCTGTGTTTACCTGAACTGAAAAAGTGAAATAGCAAAGTACCAATTGCTTTCTAGTGTGTCTACTTGCTTCCACAATTAGCATTGAACTTGGCAATGTGAACGGCACATATTGCTATCAGTTGTGTGCCACTGTACAGTACTCAGTTTGGTTTGTAGAACCGTTTTTGTCATCCACTTCTATGTAGTTGTTCCATATTGCTGTACCTTGATGGTATTTTTTAATACAAAATATTGCAAAAAAACAAACAAACAAAAAAACAACTATACAATGGAATGCTGCTTTCTTTCTTTTATTGTTTTCAAGTCATATGGGGACGGTTCTGTAAAAGTTTCCCATGTTTGCCTGAGGAGTTTGAAGTAAATGCTTTATTGAAACAATTTTTTATTGTGATAAGACCGCATTTGTTTAGTGTAAAGTATGCTGTATTTATATATTATTACTTTTTTCAACACGCAATTCTTGGAGAAAAAAAAGCTTCAATACCACTTGCCATTTGTTTGTTGTAAATTGCGCTTGTGTAAACAATGTAGAATTGATGTGAAATGAAATCCAAAGAAATATTTTCTCCAAATCAATTACAGGTTTTTGGATGTCCCACATAGAAGTAGAGATGGGAATTGATAAGAATTTAGTGCCTCCATTATCGACACTGCTTATAGATCGAATTCTCCTATCAGTCCTCATTAGGTAAGGAGCCAAATGTCACTGATTTCCCCACGCCGATCGAATACCCTCCCGTCGGACATACAGTGGTGCCGACCCCTGATCTCAGTTATTGCCGATGGGTGTCTTGTTTTGAGGATTTGAGCACCTACCCTCGAAAATGTATGCACATGCCTGCAGATAACAATATAATACTTGATACGTGTTTTCTTTTTTTCTTAAAAGTGCATAAAATTCATGGCAGTTTTCGCTGATCTTATCTTCATTTACTGGACTTATGTAAAACAATTTAGAGGAAAATAATGAAATGGATAAAATATTAATAAAAACAAAATAAAAATAATAAACCACAAATGGTAATAAAACACATATATCCGGTGGAAAACTAGCACTCCAAATATGTGAGTGGTCAAATAGTGTTCAAGGAATGTACACTGTTGGTGTGTACATTGTAATTTACAAAGTTGTTTATATCCATGCTGCTCAAATGTATCACTGCTATGAACCAGTATTTGCAATTGATGTAGGTGCATTGCTGCAGTTACATTGACCTTTATTTATTTTTCATACAATGTTATTGTAACGTGTCTAAAGTCACTCTTGTCCGAGGCGGTCCTGCTTAAGGCTTGAACCCACATTTACTATCATTCTCTGGATTCAGAGTAGAGTAGAGTGGACCATGTGGGATTAAAAATAAATAAATAAAGATTATATTTTTTCTCCAAAAAATGCAACGATAATTTCATGATATTCTCCCAAAAATACTGTAAATCTGTATTTGCTTCACATGACAATTACGGATAGACAGCGTTTGTGCACAACAGTTGTTTCTATTTTATTTTGCTTCATCTCTCTTCTGCAAAAGATTGTTCCACAAGATTCAATGGCAATATTTAACAATTAAGTACTTCAAATTATAACTAGACTAGTGTAGATGATTTTTGTGAATATTTCTTGTCACTAAAATGAATCAGATGTATTCCATATCGACAGATATCATCACATTTTGAGTTGCAGTAAGTACTCGTCAACCATTGCCAACTACTTACAGCAGTCAGATTGAGAAAACTTGTTTACGACAGCAGTCAGACTGAAAAAAAATCTTTTATTTGCTGAATGCCAGGTGTCACCCTGGAATACAGGTTTCTAATTTTTGGACGGTCTTTAACACACACGGTAAGGAAGATACGGCGTCTTGCGCTGTTATTGCATATAAGTGCGTAGTGGCAACTGCAGCTGCGATCTTTTGACATTTTATTAAGTTGTGCAACATATACTCTATGTGAGAGAGTCAGAAATGTAGCTATGAGTGTGCAAACTGAATGTTCAGCGAACACCGAACATCCTGCCAAGCTTTACCCGCTTGCATGAAGTAATGTAAGCGATAGCGACGTAGGTGAGGTCTCGCCGACATTTACTTCGCTTTGTAAGTAGTGCAGTCTGTGTTTGATCAACTCGGAGAGGGATTTCTGAGTGTGTTGCGCGGTTTCACTCATTTTCTTTAGTGATAGTCGTGCTTTGTGGAGTCGCAATGTTTTCCTCGTACACCGTATGGTTTGTTGTGGAACAGATTTGTCGGTGAATTGTTCACAGTGACCGTTTTGGCACATTTTATGACTTTGTTAATCCAACGAAAGTCAGTCTTGTCAACCCCGACTCATTTCCAGGCTAGCAACGTGGACTTTCGTCTTGCAATGAAATAATCACGGAGATGCAATACTCGTCCATTTCTCCATTTCCTAAATTTGATACAGTGCCATCTCCCGTTCAGCTGGTCACACAAGGTGACGTAACTGAATCCTATCCGCTGATTCGCAGGATTAAGACGAATGTCTTTCTCGTCCTTTGCCGTCTATGCGCACTGATTCGATGATTAAGATTTTCATAATTTCCTCCAACTAATTAATGGACCCGTTCATCTTTTATTTTCGAGACAGTATTAATACTCAAGTTCAATGTAAAATTGCCCATTGTGATCACAACCTTGAGGATAATGTTGATGACGACATATATCACTGACCAACAAGAAAGCGTGCTAACCAACAAGCTAAGAGCCCGTGCTACAAATCTACCAGCTGCCGTGACTCTGAAGGCTCTAGTTCAGTGGTTCTTAACCTTGTTCGAGGTACCGAACCCAACCAGTTCATATGCACATTCACCGAACGCCTCATTAGTGAAAAATAAAAATATGATTTTTTTTACAAATTTAAGACATGAAAAACGCATTTATTAAAAACTGAAAAAAAAGTAAACACAATTAATTGTAGTATAAAGTTTTTTTTTTGTGCACAAAATGAACCAGCCAGTGATGGCCAAGCAAGCGTATCATAACTAAGTGACATGTTGAGTTGGGTGGGTCTCAACCTCCATGGCAGAGGTTCTGTCGAACCCCTGAGACTGATTCACCGAAGCCCTAGGGTTCGATCGAATCAAGGTTAAGAACCACTGCTTGAGTTGAATAAGGATTGACTATTGTACTTTTCCACAGCACTGGCTGTCATTTGTTACACATGCACACTGCACAGACTACTATGGCGCCATGATTGAAGCACAACTATTTGCATTTCCGTCACCAGAGTCACAAATACGTAACCAGAGTCACCAATGTGTAACCAGAGTCACAGCCAGATTCACAGATTTTTGGAATACATTTGCAAACAAGTGCATTGATCTGTAAATATGGCATCTGCCACTTGTTTGGGTGTGATCTAAAACGTAATTACTGCAACTACCTGCACAAAATACACAAATGTGTGCACTGATTTGCAAAAGCACGTAGGTACTTGTGTGCCACTCCATATAATACCACCAGTGGGCTCAAGCACCAAAAAGCATCAACCAATGATGGCAGAGCTTTGACAGCATAGTCATCTACCCCCCCACAGTGATGGACTCTTCGAACGCAGCACTTCCGCATTTAGTGGCAAGTTAACTTTTGGTCAGGTAGCAAATGCATAGTGACAACTATCTTAGTGACATCAAAGATCACTCGTAAAATGCTGAAATTATTTAACAATACCATAAATGATCAATTAGTGTTAGAATTGCTACAGTTACCCAAGTGACGCCAAAGCAGTCATAGGATCCGTATGTGATTTTAGCTATTCACAGTCTCACTGTATCCAGGTCGCATATGGCTTATTCTTTGGGAATCTCCTGTAGCTACCTGTATATATAGCAAGTGTTGTACACAAAAGCCAACAGAAATAGAATATATCATATTATCCTATGGTGGAATAGATTCATGTTAGTGCTCAAATATTCATCTTATATTGGTCATGAGTTTTTCAAAAATTATTTTCTCAAAATTCCACCTTATTGCTCAATATGTTTTTATCTCACTTCTCTTCAATTTGCTGTTCAATTTTGCATATTGGTTCACTTACTGTAAACTTTAAAAACTGTAAAACTGTAAACTGCAAAATTATTCCCTTCTTATTCTAATATGTGATATAGAAAGTATTTCATATCACCGGAAAAGCTTGGTGTGTTGCCGTTCATACGGTCCACTGCTCAAGTCTTGACTAATGTCTGTCAAGATGGCAGACATCCAAGATGTCTGATTTGGCCGTCGATGTTGTCAAAACCCAGTCAGAAGTGTCCAATGCTTTTGGCGGTTGCATCACACGATATGGAGGAAAACACAAGTCCTGACTTCCATTTGCTAATCACGACACACATTTCAATATCTTCCAAAGAAAGACTGTTGCATAAGCCACATGTAAGATCAAGTCGAATCCAGAGGCACATTGCACATTTACAGAACAATGTACACTTTGGCAAATGTATTTCACACATTTGTGAATCTGGTTGTGGATCTGTGATTCTGGTTATGTATTTGTGAACCATTCATGTACATTTGTGACTCTGGTTACGGATTTGTGACTCTCGTTACGCATTTTCAAATGACTTTGCAACAAGAACGGCCCCATTGACTCACAAACCACTGTTAGAAGTAAGAGTCACCTTTTTAGCACATCATCCTTCCACCACACTCTCCCGGTATGACTTCACTATCCGCGCTCAATCCACCTGTAATGTAACAATTGGATTGGATTGATTGGTCATACCTGGAGCATGATGCACAAGAACATTGTTGTGTTACTGTCTTAGGTGCTAAAAGCAATCGATAAGCAGCTACATTCAGGCAAGCAAACAATTCCGTGTCATCGAATTACTGGGAAGTGGTTCTCATTAAGAACCGGCTCCAGGAAATTTGGTTAGAATACAATCAATTTGATTCCTTTCTCAACTTAGTAGTGTTGTTGAGACCCCCATATGACTTGAATTCATTATTTTTCTATAAGTTTACAAAGTGAAGAATCTCAAACTGATCATTGATTGGTAGATATAATTTCCACCATATCGGGTGAAAATGTGACCAGAAGAAAGACTGTGTATCTTTGCTGCTGTGACAATTGTATCGTTTTCCAGGAACAAGGAATTGTGTTTCAGATGATTATATATGGACAGTGGATTTAACACACGATCTACACCTTTTTCCAAGTTGAATGAAAATCCCCAGGAAAACATAATGAACCTATTTTAATGTAATGATGTTGTGAATGATGCCTTCATGCCCGTGCTCACTTTCTTT